TGGGGTCCGTAGAGGGTAAATAGGGGAGGGACAGCGGGGGGTGGGGAGTTGGGGAGAGATAGCATGGGGAGAAATGCCAGATATAGGTGATGGGGAGGAAGGCAGCAAATCACACTGCCATGTGTGTACCTATGTAACAATCTTGCATGTTCTTCACATGTACCCCAAAACCCAAAATGCAATTTAAAAAAACTAATTTAGCTTCTGATAATTTAATCAACAATAAACTGGGCCATTAAATTAATGAATTTAAGTATTATTAAGTATTACAGTTTCCTTTAAAGAAGAATGCAGTGCTACCTGGTATTACTTAAACAGCCTATGGATGCACCTCATTATTCCATGGTAGAAATATTTTTCAAAGAGGTATAAAAATTCTGAAGCAACTTCAACAGTCTTCAAAGGATAAGGGTATTTAGGTCTAAACTTGCAGTAGATAGTAATATCTAACTAGATGACTTAGAAACTGCTGAAAAAAACAGATTAGTGATCTGGGTATTACACAATAGTTTTGTTCCTCTACAAATGTGGTATGTTCTCCAGTCAATTTATTACAGCCTTAGTTACAACTAATTATTTGGAGATAGTAAAACATCATCAAAAATAAATTGCCTCCTTCTCAGTAATTTTTTAAAATGAATGTGAAGGACAGGAGAATTTGAAACCTAATTTCTCTGAGTTTGCTAACTATCTTGTTTCAGTCAATTAACACCTGGCCTGGATTTGTATTTGAGATCTAGAATTTAAGACAAGAATAAGGGACAATTATCATGCTTCCAGAACACTCCAAGTATTGATAGAATATAACAAAGATCCTGAAATTGAAATTAACTTGTCTCTCATCACATGTAATTTTAATGAAAAAAATTAAAGAATTTTAAAAACCTTCAGAAGGGACATAAAAGTGAGTCCTACACATTACAATACAGAGAATCTCCATAATGATAGAGCATGAATTTAAAACTGGATTCCGGCACAGAGAGATCATTTATTTCTGAATGTGTATATCTAAGGATATGTATGGTGTTTCATCAGACAACTATTGTATATGTACATAAGAAATTTAAAAACCTCTGGAATGGTAGATATTGGGGCAAAAAGTAATGGGGCCATGTTGGAAAAACCCAATGGAATTGTGCAAGTACTAGCTAACAAAATGACTGGATTAGTACTAAAGACTAAATGGTAAAACTTACACCAAATAGAATTTTTCATTCTGTAGCCACTATTTTAACATGTCAAAACAAACTAAGAAAATTCTCCTGAAAGGTAACAATGCTTAATTAAGTAAAATGATGCCTGGCCATAAACACCTTGAATTTTAAGGTCTAGGAGGTGATGTTTATCAGTGAGGAAAACCAAAAACATTAGTGCTGCAGCTGTTATGACACAGCTTTATCAATACCAGTGTTTGGTGTGGCCATGAACAGGCAAGAAGTTCAGGCTGGGCACCTGAGACAGTTACGTACTGGACAGTTACATACTGGACAGTTCATGAGCCTTTCAGCTTCTTTCCATCCTTCTACACTTATAACTCTTGCCCATTTAACCCAGAAAACGTGTCTTCACCTCAAAAAATGGCTCATAAATTTAAAATACTAGCCTTAAACCAAACCAAGAAAAAGTAAATCTGTCTCTATTTTAATTGAGGTTAACACTAGAAGGAGTGGTGTCTCAAATCCTAGAAAGGTTTTTGCAATGTTCCAAAGTACCTTCAAAATTTCTACCAAAATGTTTCCATTGAACCCCAACCTCTCCTAAGTGACGTTCTGATAATTCAAAACAAATGATTATTTTATCTTACTTTTCCTTAAAAATATTCAACAGTAAGGTCTTGAAGAGATATTTGCGCACCCATGTTCACAGCAGCACTATTATAATAGCTAAGTGGCAGAAGCAACCCAAAGGTCTGTTGATGAATGGATAAGCAAAATGCTACACATGCAATGGAATGTTATTCCACCTTAAAAAGGAAGGAAACTCTGTCACATACTACAACATGGATGAACCTTGAAGACAGTATACTAACTGAAATAAGCTAGTCACTAAAAGATAAATAGTATATGATTCCACTTATATGGAATATCTAAAGTGGTCAAATTTCTAGACACTGAAAATAAAATGTCAGTTACCAGGAACTGGGGTTAGAGGGAAAAGGGAAGTTATTTTGAAATGGATATAGAGTTTCAGAATTGCAAGATGAAAAAGCTCTAGAGATGGCTTTCACAATGATGTGAATCTAACTAACACTACTAACACTTAAAAATGGATGGCCGGGTGCATTGGCTCATGCCTGTAATCCCAGCACTTTGGGAGGCTGAGGCAGGCAGATCACAAGGTCAGGAGTTTGAGACCAGCCTGGCCAATATGGTGAAACCTCGTCTCTACCAAAAATACAAAAATTAGCAGAGCATGGTGGCAGGTGCCTGTAGTCCCAGCTACTTGGGAGGCTGAGGCAGGAGATTTGCTTGAACCTAGGAGGCAGAGGTGCAGTGAGCTAAGATCGCACCACTGCACTCTAGCCTGAGCAAGAGAGTGAGCCTCTGTCTCAAAAAAAAAAAAGTTAATGTGGTAAATTTTATGTTATGTGTTTTTACCAGAAGAAAACAAATAGTATTGTTTTTCTGATACTCATCATTACTAAGCATTCAGTGAAATTAAAAATTTTACCTACATTGTAAACTGCATATAGGCCCTAACACGGGAAATTTTTACTTTTTGAGATAACATAGGCTTTTGCTTTTCTTTAAATTCCTCCACCCTTTGCCCCTTTTAAAGATGAGAACAGAAATGACATGGTGAGTACGTGTCTCCAACTGAAAAAGAGTAAATCCAGTTACATAGGAAAGTTAGTTCTATTTGAAAATCAATTCCTTACAACTCTCCATGAGATATTTCCTTGGGAGGCACTGGAAGAAGAGTTGCTAACACATTCTTCTCTTCATCACGGCATAATCTTGGCTTTAACTAAACACTAAAAAGTAGCCCAATAGAAAGAAATATAACAACCTCAGTTTGAAAGACAGAATCACACTCAAATAACTACTATTTTTAATTTCACTGAATGCTCCAATGAATGTACGATCCTGGGAGTCACATTTCACATTCAGAATTTAAATTGATTCTTAATTAACAATATGTAGTTTCATGTTTGTTTTTAATAATTTCTAAGCTGTTATTTCAAATAAACAATACCACATTCTTGAAGGTAAAACTCTTTTATCTCCCTAGAGGTTAGTCCAGTGGTTGGCATAAAATGATGCTAAGCAAATGTTTTTTTCAAATAACTGTATAAGACTACCTGATTTTTAGCAATGTATAAAACTTTATTGAAACTAAGCATTCATTTTCTCTACTTCTGTATAATGAGCTAAGCACAACCAGAAACAGTCTCAAAATAAGGTGATCAGTTTCACTATTTTATGCTCACCTCTACAGGTTACCCTTTCCTGCTCCCAAACGGTAACTCACTCCTATCACTTCTAATCACCCTCAACCCTATGGCAACCATGCCAAAGTTTCTTTCTTTTTTTTTTTTTTGAGACAGGGTCTGGCTCTGTCGCTCACGCTGGAGTGCAGTGGCATGATCTTGGCTCATTGCAACCTCTGCCTCCCAGGTTCAAGTGATTCTTGTGCCTTATCTTCCCAAGCAGCTGGGACTATAGGCACATGCCACCGTGTCCAGCTAATTTTTGTATTTTCTGCAGAGACAGGGTTTTGCTAGGTTGCCCAGGCTGGTCTTAAACTCCTGAGCTCAAGTGATCTGTCTGCCTCGCCTCCCAAAGTGCTGGAATTATAGGCACGCACCACCATGCCTGGCTGCTTCTTCACCTCAAATCTCTAGTACCTTTCTCTACATTCTTACTTTTGTGGTGCCTTGCTCTATTTTTCTACGAAGATTAAAACCCAAGATTTTCCTCTTCTTCACTTCAACATTTCTGTTTTCACCCTGCTCTTCTCTGGACTCAATGGATACAAGTATTCCTCTTTTTCACCCAGGTTCTCTGTCACTATTTCTACTCCAGTAGAATCGGTCTCCTCCCCTGGCTTATCTTCAAGAAAATATCCTAGGAAGCACAAACAAACCCAATTTTTATTAGTTCCTTCTCTTCTCAGCCTCCAAAGTACTTAATGCATATAATACTGAGTATTATATCCCAGCTAATTACATCTGACCTTTTGGATATATGTCATACTATGGTTCTTTTTATCTATGTCTTTATTGCCAAAAATGATATTTATAAGCTATTTCAGGGCAAATATCGTCTTCTGCCTCACCATATGAAAAAGGTCTCTGTTTACCATGTGCCATTCAAATATTTGTTGATAATGGAATAAATTTGTTCAAAAGTAAGCTTATCACCTGGGTACAGTGACTTATGCCTGAAATTCCAGAGTTCTGGGAGGCTGAGTTGGGAGCATCACTTGAAGCCAGGAGTTTGAGACCAGCCTGGGCAACACTGCAAGACCCTGTATCTACAAAAATAAAAAACAAACAAAACATTTTTAAAATGAACTTTTCTATGACTCCCATTGTATTTATCACTGTACTGAACATACTGACCCTTTCACATTAAATACTGACTTTAATGTATTTATTTTCCTTATTCTCTTATATAACATCTCTAATTTCTTTTCTTTCAGTTTCAACTTTAGTCACCAAGGCTGGCACTTTCTATTAATAATAAAAATGGTTACTATTCATGAATATCTAATTCCTGCCAGATATTATGTTAGATAATCTACACATATTAACTCTAATCTTCACAATCATGCATTTTACAGAGGAGGAAACTGAGGCTCAAAGGGATTTAAGTATGTTGTTCCCCAGTCTTCCTCCCTCCAATCAATCTTCTACCCTTCAGCCAGAGTGATCTTTCTACAACCAAATCTAATCATGTTATTTCCTTCACCTAAAGCTCTTTAAGGCTTCCTACTATCTTAATGTCTAGATTCCTTAACTAGGCATAAGGTAACCCTCAGGATGCCTCTTTTCTTACCACTTCTGACATCGACTTCTTTCAATTCTTGGCCCATGCCATGCTTTCTCCTTTTGCCTCTGGATTTGGCCTAGAGTGCCTTTATTCATTCACTCAGCAAACATGTAGCAAGTGCCAACTATGTGCCTGTCATTGTACTTGCAGCTGGGAACATGGTGGTGAATGAAAGAGACATAAGTCCTGCCCTCAAGGAACTTATGACAGAACGGAAAAAATAAATAATTACAGGCCGGGTGCAGTGGCTCACGCCTGTAATCCCAGCATTTTGGGAGACCAAGGTGGGTGGATCACAAGGTCAGGAGTTCAAGACCAGACTAGCCAACATGGTGAAACCCCGTCTCTACTAAAAAAATACAAAAATTAGCTAGGCATGGTGGCTTGTGCCTGTAATCTCAGCTACTTGGGAGGCTGAGGTAAGAGAACTGCTTGAACTGGAACCCGGGAGACAGTGGCTGCAGTGAGCCAAGATTGCGGCACTGCACTCCAGCCTGGGCTATAGAGCAAGACTCCATCTCAATCAATCAATCAATCAGTCAATAAATACAGATTGTAATAAGTAAAATGGCAGAAGCAGGATGCTGTATTCCAGAACATCTAGGGTTAGAGAGTGCAAGAGAAATCACGGTGCCTGTCTTAGATAGTTTGATCTGGTAAGGTCTCTGGTGGTGACATACTTTAAAACCTAAAGATTAAGAAGCCAGCTATGTGAAAGCAGGAGGGGAGGTGAATGACAAGAGATCCTGCTAAAGATATCAGCAAAGCCCAGACCAAGGATTTTTATAGGCCACGGTTAGGAGTCTGGACTTTATTCTAACTTCTAAGGGCAATGTAATTCACTGAAGAATCTGACATGAGTCACTTTTTTCTGCTGAATGAAGAAGGGATGAGAGGGGCACAAAATAGAAAACAGAGACATAAGTCAGGAAGATACAGTAGTAGCTGAGGTGAGAAAATGTGGATGATTTGAAGTTGGGTGTGATAGTGAAGGAGGAAAAAAGTAGGCAGATTAGATGCAGAATTGACCTGACTTGCAAAGTCATTACCCGAAATTAAGAAAGAGGCAGACAGAGGTTATAGAGTTTGGGGAATTGTCACTGGAGAAAGTTAGAAAGTAGGCTCACTAGAGAAACAGTATCAGAAGGATCTCAAGTCCATCCTGAGTTAATATTCAAGAGTTTGGCCATTTTCGCTTTATACTATCATCAATTTGCGCAGGACTTTTTCCAGCAAAGTTCAGCCGCATAGGGGCAGGTACAAAGAGGGCAAATAGTTGAGTTCATCCAGAGTAAGAGTTTTGTCAGAAAACAAAGTGCAGGAAGGGACAAGATAATTTTTCAAGGGAGCGACATACGTTGTGGAAAAGGGGGTGCAGTGGGTAGAAAACGGAAAGATCAATGCAATGGAGGTACAGATAAAGGTCAAGAACTGTCTCCCTGATAGAAAGTGGTCCGATAGTAGGAAGCTATAATTTGTTTCTTCTGCTTGGAATGGTCTCCCCTTTCAGCAAACTATTTTATCCCTAAATACATCCATCCTTTTCTGTTCCCTGACTTCCTGAAACCCAGCGCCACTCCCTGAGTTTGTTACCATCTCATGCAATCAGAAAGGCCCACCTCAAACTATTCCCTCCTGGAAGCATTTACGTTCTCCCCACTGAGATCCCTCCTCCCTCCCAGAGTGTACTACTACTAGAATAATTCATGTGACCACGTAAGTCAGTCTTTTTTCTTTCTAGGTTTCTTTGGAAAAGGTATTGTTATAAATATTCAAAAGTCTCTGGATCCCGCGACAGTATCCAGAACAGAGCCCTGCACGGCACAATCATTCAATAAATACTAACAGGGATTTCAGCCTCATGGGCCTCCAAACCTCATCCCTACTTGCTAAGCCAGGGTTTGCCGAAAAAGAATAAAAGCGCATAATCCCTGTTCACACAAGCCTCAGATAACTTCCATTAACCTCAAGCGTTGCCTTCAATTTCACAACTTTAATTTTAATCCCCTCTAACATTCAAAACACCCCAATTTAGCTAATGATGAGCAAACATAAAACAAGACAAACAATACCCCTATACGTGAAACAGCACTGGTAGGCTACCCTATAACGATAAAAAATCTGGATTCCACAATTCGAGAAATGCCATACTCACTAGAAAATACAGAATTTTCTTCATTGTTTAATGCAAGGCCGGAGAGACCTGGGATGGGGCTAAGGCAAACGGCCCCAAGAGGGGTGTCACGAGAGTCAGTTGGCACTGGGTTTTAACTTAGGGTATGACCTCAGCCTGGCACCTACCTTCCTCCCCACCAGCCCCAGCTGCAAGGATCTTAGGAATGGTCGCCTCGGATCCTGCTGCCATGGCTACCGTGAGGCGGGTTCTGCTGGAACCCGAGGCAGAGCTGAGCTGCAGTGGGGTCAGAGTAGGGGCCAAACTCCGGGACCCAAACCTGCACCGCAGGAAGGAGGCCCGGCGGCGACTCCCGCCCGGCTCCTACGGAAACGCCGGCTCTCACGTGGAGGTCACGTGACGGACGCTGGGCGGGACCACGCAGCTTTGTTTTGCTTCCCCGGGTGCGGAAATACAAACACGTGGTCTGAGTTTTGGCGCTTTTTACCCAACGCGGACCTCAGCCTTCTTTCCTGTAGTCTTAGCTTCGTTTCTGCTTCACCTTTTCTAGTCAGGTCCTTCCTTTCTGCCTCAGGTTTTCTCCACCCCAGAGGATTGGAGTTTTAGGGGAAGGTTTGGCGCTTAGTGGGGCTCAGGGGGTGGGATGAGTCTCTGCCGTCAGCTTTTGCGAGCCGCTCTTGGCAGCCTTGAATGCGAGGCTAGTTCACGCTCCTCTTACCCCTCTCTTGCCCTTCTGGTGGCAACTTGACTCCTGATTTTCGTGGCTGCCGGGAAATACGAACCTCGGGCAAAGAATCCTGTGATTGCGTTCCCTGTGACTCATTCCCGACCTAGAAGAGCCAAATTGCTTGACTTAGGTTTTCAAGCACACTAATCCACAGCTGTCGGGCTTCTGGATTTGTGTACCAAAATAAACAGCCGTGTGAAGAGATCAACAACCACCTTTCTTCTCGTTTACGCTGTGGTCAAATCATAATCACTGGAGATGGATGTGGGTAACTTTGGGGCAAAAATCTTCCAACTGTATGGACATACCTCTCATTGTTCGCTTATTCAGTGACAGACAAAATGGGTAAAAAAATTTACATATATATGAATGAAATTGACTAATTTTGAATCTCCTCTTGGATGTGTAAGACAAAAAAATAAAAATAGGCAGTACTTATTGTACATGACAAATGATTTTTATGAGATAATCCCCTGGGACTCACTACACCTCAACCTTATCTTTTCTCCGCCTATAATTTCTGAAGTTACTAACTCAACAAAACTAAGAATAAGCCCAAAATAGAAGCAAGCATTAGGTTAAGTGACCACAGGTCACTGAGTTGTTTATTTTACTTAGACACTTCCTCAAAACCCCAGGTATACCCCTGGTTTTTTGTGTCTAGGTTAAAGCCCAACCTCCCCGAATACAGCCTCTCTGGGAGTTTCCCTAACCCCGGCTCAGCTGTGCTTATCCCTGCCTTTTCAGCGCTACCAGTCCTCTGTCTGGGATTCGACTCCTCTCCCCTCGCCGGAGTTTCCTCGCCACCGGCAGCGGGCAGGGGCGGACCCCGGCCTCCCCGCCTCCTGCCCCGCCTCCCCGCCGGCCAGGCTCGGGCGGCGCAGGCGCACCAGGCGCGGCCGGGAGGTCGAGTGCGATCACTGTAGCCTCCGCCTCCTGCTGCCCCGGCAGGTTCTGCGCTGGGCTAGTCGGCTGCGATCTGGGCCGCGCCGGGCAGTGGCTTCGCGGACGACGCGTCGCCATGGGCTCTCGCTGGAGCAGCGAAGAGGAGAGGCAGCCGCTGCTGGGGCCTGGGCTCGGGCCTGGACTAGGGGCGGCCTGGAGAAGCCGGGAGGCAGCGGCGGCGCTGCCGGCGGCGGCGGCCGCGGGTCCAGGGCGGGTGTACGGGCGCCGCTGGCTCGTGCTGCTGCTCTTCTCGCTGCTGGCGTTCGTTCAGGGCCTGGTCTGGAACACCTGGGGTCCCATCCAGAACTCGGCGCGCCAGGCCTACGGCTTCTCCAGCTGGGACATCGCGCTGCTCGTGCTGTGGGGGCCCATCGGCTTCCTGCCCTGCTTCGCGTTCATGTGGCTCCTGGACAAGAGAGGTGAGGGGTCTGGGGGCGCCGGCCTACGCTGTCACTTCTCGGGGAACAGGCGCCTGCCCGCGCTCCAGGCCTGTCAGCCGCCTCCTTTGGCTCCAGCATAGGGGTTGTGTGAGGTGATAGAGTTGTTAGCATTCCATTTCTGACTTAGGAACCCTCCGTCCCCAAAGCGACAAATATGGGAAGGCTACTGCAGGATTTATGTTTTTATCCAAGCCCTTTATGCAACACCAGGGATTTAAGCGATCTCTAAATGTTCAAGTTTTTACGCATTGTGAACATCAGAGCATCCGCGTGCATGTGCAGTGTATGTTTTACACCTGACAAAAATGACTGATGCTTTGACTTCAAGGGATTTGGGAATGTTGAGGGTGACAGGTCGGAAAATAGATTGCCGAGGCCCAGATGTACGGAAATAATGAGTTGGTTTTGTATAGTAGATGACTCCAGCCCAGGAAGAGCTACTTGAAAACAAGTCTGACACTTTGGTTTCTGGAACGTGGTGCTCAGCAGCTTTAAAATGTGTGTATATGACTACATGCCTTTCTCCGTTGAGATTTGTGACTTTCAGATAAAGCTTGCAGATGAGCGAAGATGCTTTCTTAGAATGGTACTCTGGACGTCTCACTTTACCACTTGCCAATGTGATTCTCTGAGGAGAAAAAAAAAAGCCATAGGGCTGAGAATCAAGGTAGACTTACCACGGAAGTATAGATAAATGACTGGTAGTGACAGTGTACCCTCAAGAGGCTGTTGTGCAAGATTTTAGATTAGTTGGATAATGCTTGGGAGCTACTTTGTACAGTTTCTGTTCAACCTTTTATAAGTTTTGTTGCAGTGAGTTCTTAGTCAGATTTGGAAGGTTGTCTTAGTCCACTGGAGCTGCTATAACAAAATACCATAAACTGGGTAGTTTATAAACAACAGGAATTTCTTTCTCACAGTTCTGGAGGCTGGGAAGTCCAAGATGAAGGCTCAGGCAGAATCACTGTCTGGTGAGGGTCTGCTTCCTACACAGTGGTCTTTTCACTATAACATAAGACATAGGAAGAAGGGGTTAGGGATCCCTCTGAGGTCTGTTTTATACGGGCAGTAATCCCATTCACATGGGTCCCACCTGCATAACCTAATCACCTTTCAAAGGCTGCACCTCCTTATTCCATCATTTTGAGGGTTATGATTTCAGAATACGAATTTGAGGCCAGGTGCAGTGGCTCAAGTAATCCCAGCACATTGGGAAGCTGAAGTGGGAGGATCACTTGAGCTCAGGGGGTCGAAGCTACAGTGAGTTGTGATGGCAGCACTGCACTCTGCCTGGGGCAACAGGGCAAGAGTCATCTCAGAAAAATAAATAAAATACGAATATGATGGGAACACATCAGACCACAGCAAAAGCCAAGTGTAGTTAGGTACAACAAATTGCAATTCTCTGGCATGTAGTTAGCACTCAATATTAGTTGCTTATTAAGAGAATAGAATAGCAGGGTGATGTTAGTAGCTACGCTTCCTTCCCTCCTTCACTGGAATTCTTTCATTGGAATCCATATGAAAAGGCTAAGGAATAGTTGATTGTGAATTCCTTAATGATCAACAATGTAAAGTAGCTGCTAAAAAAGAAAGGGCAGTTTTAGGCATAGAACATAGTGTCCAAAGCAAGAAGTGAAATAGTTTGATATGCTACATTAGTGTTTAGTCCAGAGCCTGATTCTGAGATGGCCATTTGACAAACTGCAGAACTTTAAAGGTTCTGGGACAAGAATGATAAAGGGTATAAAAATCATGTATGAGACGAAGGGAACTTGGGTATGTCAAAAACTTCAAAAAGGAACTTGAGGCAAAACAGAGACTGTGAAAATCAAGTAAAAGAGGAATTAGACTTACGTTTAGTTCTAGGAGGAAGAACTAGACTGAGTCAAGTTACAAAGGAATTTAACTCAAAGCAATACAAGGAAGAACCTTCTAACAAAGATATCTAGCCCTAGATGGGTGTGTCTTGACTGCTGTAGAACTTCCAGCTAGAGTAAATACTTTTGCAGATGATGTGTGCTAGATGCCGAGGAAGGGCTTCTCTTACCAAATGGAGATTTTCTTTGGGTTTTTGTTGTTTGCTTTTAAACTAAATAGTGGTTTTATTTGGGTTTCTGCTGGGCGCAGTGGCTCATGCTTGTAATTCCAGCACTTTGGGAGGCTGAGGTGGGTGGGTTGCCTGAGCTCAGGAGTTAGAGACCAGCCTGGGCAACATAAGGAAACCTGGTCTCTACAAATAATGCAAAAATTATCCAGGCATGTTGGCACGCATCTGTAGTCTTAGCTACTGGGGAGGCTGAGGCAGGAGGATCAATTGAGCTGAGGAGGTAGAGGCTGCAGTGAGCCATGACCACTCTACTGCACTCCAGCCTGGGTGACAGAGTGAGACCCTGTCTCAAAACAAACAAAACCAAAGAAGTACTTTACCTATAATCAATCTTAAAATAATATTTTTTTAAAAAGAAAAAATATTTTGTTTCCGCTGATGTATTTTCCTTCTGTGCCAGGATCCAGTCTAGGGTCCTCTGTTGCATTTAGTTGTTATTTCTCTTTAGTTTCTCCAATCTGTGATAATTCCTTGGTCATTCCCTTAACAAGGTTGGCTAAATTCAGGGGAAAATGATGTTTTGTAGTTTCTTTTTATTTTTATTAGGAGCATTTTTCAATATTATTCCCCAAACTTAGCCAACCTTGGTTTTAATGTTAGAAAAATGTTCATTTGCACCCTTCTTCTTGACTTTTTTTTTTTTTTTTTTGAGACGGAGTTTCGCTGTTGTTACCCAGACCGGAGTGCAATGGCATGATCTCGGCTCACCGAAACTTCCGCCTCCTGGGTTCAGGCACTTCTCCTGAGTAGCTGGGACTACAGGTGTGCGCACCACCATGCCCAGCTAATTTTTTTTTTTTTTTTTTTTTTTTTAGTAGAGACGGGGTTTCACCTTGTTGACCAGGATGGTCTCGATCTCTTGACCTCGTGATCCACCTGCCTCGGCCTCACAAAGTGCTGGGATTACAGGCGTGAGCCACGGTGCCTGGCCCGCACCCTTCTTATAATCGTATCTACTATCCATGGCAGGATAAATTAGAAACCACCCATTCACTTTATAAAATCAGGTGCTTTAGTTCTTCAATAGTTCTTAATGACTATTTGGTGAATTCAATTTTATATTTTCCTTTGGTTGAAGCAATAAAAAATACATTTTAAAATTCTCTTTATTAAGTAGTTTTCATTTTCAGTATGAGAAAGCAAGTACTCTTTCATAAGTTGGCTTTCCTGCTACAGGTGTTGCATCTACACACATAGAAAGCAAGTTCATTCTTTCTTACTTCAGGCATCCTTGGGTACTAAAATATCTTTTTTTTTTTTGGAGACAGAATCTTACATGGTTGCTCAGGCTGAAGTACAGTAGTACGATCTCAGCTCACTGCTGCCTCAACCTCCCTGGGCTCAGGTGATTCTCCCAACTCGGCCTTCTGAGTAGCTGAGACCTTAGGCATGCACCACCATACCAGCTGGTTTTTTGTATTTTTTACAGAGAGAGTGTCTCGCCACGTTCCCTGGGCTGATCTTGAACTCCTAGGTTCAAGCAAGGCACTCAAAGTCTTGCTCCCTGGTTGCTTGGCCTTTATGCTGCCTCAGGCCCCAGGCTGATTAGCGTAGAAGACTGGTTATCTTCCTAAAATGGGTTTGTACCTTCCCACCCTTTTTCATTTACCAGCAAAGAGACAGAAAAGGTCTAGCTAGAGAGATCATAGAGCCAAGACCAAGTGTGTCCTCGAAACTAACTGAAGAGTTTCAAGGAGATAGCAACCAAATGTGTTCCATGCACTGTGGATATTGCCCTCACAGAACCTCCTTCTACTAAGGAGATTCAGACAGCAAACAAGAAAAGTAAATATTTATTATGTTACGTAGTGATATTGATACATGCTTTGGAGAAAAATAAAGCAGGTAAAGGAGGAGGGGAATGTGATAGTGTGGGGTTATACTTTACATAGGGGTTTAGGGAAGGCGTCACTGATAAGGTGTATTTGAGCAGACACCTGAAGAGAAAACAACACTTGACATGTTAGTTCCGGAGAAGACTGCAAAGGGAACAGCAAAGATAAAGATTCCAAACTTGCCTGGCATATCCAAGAAAGAGCAGTGAGACCTTTGTGCCTGGGAGTAGAGCCAGTGAAGGAAACCGTAGGAAATGAGGTCAGAGAGGTAGCGAGAGGCCAGGAGATACAGGGCCCTGTACATCATTCTTAAATGGGATGTCAGCCATTAACTAGTGAGGAGAGCTCACTCCATTGATGGGCTTTGTGTGGAAGAGTAAAACGATGACTGTGCTCTTGTCTTTAGAACAAGAGCCAGCGCAGGGAGACAAGTTAGGCTAGTAGAATAACCCAGATGGGTGCTGATGGTGGCTTTTGACTAAGGTGATAGTAGTGGAGGATCTGAGAAGTGGTTAGATTGCAGATATGTGTTGAAAGTAGATTCACCTGTATTTGTTGAAGGATGAGATGTGGAATGTGAAGGAAGGATATGAGTCAAAGCTGTTTCTCAACTTTTTAGTATTACTGGTTAGGAGACTAGAGCTTCAATTTACTGCGTTGTGGAAGATTGTAGAAAGAGCAATTTTAGAGCAGATGGCATGGAGATCGGGGATTTGAAATGCCTATTAGATATCCAAGTAGAGAGATTAAACTGTCAATTGGATATACAAGTATTGAGTTCAGGGGAGAGGCCTGTGCAGTATGTTTGGGAGTTTTCAGCCTGCAATGGTATTTGAAGTCATGGGGCTGGTTCAAGCTCATTCTTGTTGGTATAAAAAAAGGAAAATATAAAAATTGTCATGGGGCTAGTTGAGATCCTCTCTGGAGAAGGGTGGAGCTTCCCTGGAGTAGAGGACTGAGCCTTGGGGCATTCCAACATTTAGAGATGGGGGAGATAAAGAACTGGCTAGGGAGGACTGAGAATAGAGCACTGGATTTAGCAACATGGAGAGCTTTTGGTGTCCTCTAAATGAATCATCTCCCTTGAATGATATGGTGAGCTCAAAATAAAATGCAAGGAGAGGAATCAAAGACAGTGAGTGTGGACATTTCTTTCAGGAAGTTACGACATAAAGGGCAGCAGAGAAATGGGCAGTAGCCAGAGAGAATGTGGCTGCTAATGAGGTTTGGGTTTTGTTCTTGTTTTTTTTTTTCTTTTTTCAGTAAGAGATATTGAAGCATATGTATGTAATGCAGTATCCTAACAATTCCATAAAAAGGGGGCAATTGATGATGCTGGAGGGTAAGGGAAGAACTGCTGTAGCCATGTAGGCAAGATGGGATGCAGTCGTCTGTGAACTCAGAACAAGAGCCCACTCATGACCAAGGGGATGGCCCAAGTCATTCATGAGGATATGTCCCTATGATCCAAACACCTCCTACCGGGCCCCACCTCCAACACTGGGGATTACATGTCAACATGAGACCTGAGTGGGAACGAATACCCAAATTATGTTAGGCTGTTCTCCTGAGGTCCTCATAATTCCTCTCCCTTGATGAATTGATATCTTTTTGATTACATGGAATTTTAGAGTGATGGCTTGTCAAGATGTAAGTGACATGAAGAAAGCATTTTATTCAAGACTGTCAACTGGGATAGATTAAACAACACTTGGCAACAATTAAAAATACACAAGAAAGTCACCACACTGTACTTGTGAGGTTGCTTTATTTTTCATTTTTGTATTTTTGTGGAGATGGGGTCTCACTGTGTTACCCAGGCTAGTCTCAAACTCCTGGCTTCATGGGCTTCTCCCACCATGGTCTCCCAAAGTGTTAGGATTATAAGCATGAACCATGGCACCTGGCCGGAGGTTGCTTTAATAAGCAGTTTTTCACAACTTCTTTACTCTTAAAAGTTTTTATTAGCTGTTATATTATCAAAAATTTGATAAAAATATGTAACTGGGTAAAGCATGGTAGCCTTCAGCAGTAACAATAGGAAGCCTGGTTATTGGACCATATGGCCATAAAAAGTGCCTCACTACTTGCTTGGTATTTGCTTACCTTAATTACAAACAGACTCCTTAGAAAAAAATAAATATCATGGAGAATGTAAGACTTATGGTCCCCAACCTATAAAAATTAAATTCAGTATCTTGTAGGATACCCAGTATATCCTTATAATAGCAACATTTTGTGATTTTAGGATATTTATAACCATGTATGTACTTTTCATTAATTGCACTCTGTTTCCTATGGCTATAATGTGATTTTCAAGTCTGTATTCTGTTAGTAGAAGCAGTAAATGAGCAATATATATGCATTACTTGTTACCAAGAAGCACAGTTCCTTATGGTATTCCTTCTGCCAAATTGTATTAATCATATTCAGATTATATAAAAATATTGTAAACTAATTCAGTTCGTATCACAAATTATCCGTAACATAGCATGTGTGTCTGATCTGGATCTCAAGTTTATTTTCTTTGCTATGTTTGATCTGCACAATTGTAGTCTTGTTGACTTTCAGTTTCCTTCAAGTAGTGTAGCTCTTTGAAAACCAAACATTTAACCATGTACCCTCTGCCAAAAGAGTGACAGAGAGAAAGCCCTGGAAAAAAGAAATATTACATTAATCAGTTTAAGTCTATTCTCTGTGTGAAGTGGCTTCAAGATGATGTTAGATTTGGGAGAAATTTGAAGCAATGTGGCCACTTTTGCCATAGACTTAGTATGAGCCACCTGTGTGATGTGGCTGCCACAAACAGTAAGATGTTAATTTAGTATTAACAGAGGTGTAGCATTCCAACAATAGGAAGACAGAGTTCTGTTAGATTATTCTGCCATAGCTATAACATTGTGTCTATTTCTGCTTTTTTTTTTTGAGACCGAGTTTCGCTCTTGTTACCCAGGCTGGAGTGCAATGGTGCGATTTCGGCTCACCGCAACCTCCGCCTCCTGGGTTCAGGCAATTCTCCTGCCTCAGCCTCCTGAGTAGCTGGAATTACAGGCACGCGCCACCATGCCCAGCTAATTCTTTGTATTTTTAGTAGAGACGGGGTTTCACCATGTTGACCAGGATGGTCTCGATCTGTTGACCTCGTGATCCACCCGCCTCGGCCTCCCAAAGTGCTGGGATTACAGGCTTGAACCACCGCGCCAGGCCTATTTCTGCTTATCTTACTTTTATATTTGTATATTTTGCCCTCTGTGGGATCAGCCACGGATAGCTTGTTCCCCTTTTATTCCAAATACAATAATTATTTTGTTGTATTTTATTCCAAATAAATACAACAAATAATTCTAAATAAATACAACAAATAATTCTAAATAAATAAATATTCTAAATAAATACAACAAATAATTGTTGTATCTGGAATAAAAGGGGGAGAAAACTAAGTGATCCACATTGTCTTCTAAAGTCATAAGCCATGATTTTTTTAACATTATTAAGCATTATTCTATAATGAAAACCATCAGATAGATCAAGAAGAAACAGAGATTGTGATTATATTAATAATCAGAGACTTCTAAAGGACCACTTCCTATGACCTTTTAATAAGTATTAGCTTGTTCTGCTTATGATAAAATATGTAGTTCCCTGGTTGTCATTTTTGAGAAAACTTAAAGCAATCATCTATCCCCTTAAAATGCTTTTTAGGGACAGTTAAGAGTTTTTTTAAATTAGCAGCTTACATTATATTTTTCCATTAGAGATCTAAAATTAAAATATCTAGTCTTTTAAAATTATTTTCTGTATTTTATTTTTATTTATTTATTTTTTCTTTTGAGACGGAGTTTCACTCTTGTTACCCAGGCTGGAGTGCAATGGCGCAATCTCGGCTCACTGCAACCTCCGCCTCCTGGGTTCAGGCAATTCTCCTGCCTCAGCCTCCTGAGTAGCTGGGATTACAGGCATGTGCCACCATGCCCAGCTAATTTTTTGTATTTTTAGTAGAGACGGGGTTTCACCATGTTGACCAGGATGGTCTCGATCTCTTGACCTCGTGATCCACCCGCCTCGGCCTCCCAAAGTGCTGGGATTACAGGCTTGAGCCACCGCGCCCGGCCATTTTCTGTATTTTAAGTATTATATCTGAGCGGTACATTTTAGACATTCCTTTTGAAAAATTAGAGCTAATAGAACTAAAAGAACTTCTTCCTCTATCTTTGATATGAACATTCCTATTTTCTTGTTATTGTTTTTTTTGGGGGGGGGGGAACAGATTCTCACTCAGTTCCCCAGGCTGGAGTGAAGCAGTGTTATTTCAGCTCACTGTAGCCTCCACCTCCCAGTTTTAAGCAATTCTCATGCCTCAGCTTCCCAGTAGCTGGGATTATAGGTGTATGCCACCACACATGGCTAATTTTTGTATTTTTAGTAGAGACAGAGTTTTACCACATTGCCCAGGCTGGTCTCAAGCTCCTGAGCTCAGGTGATCCATCCATCTCAGCCTCCCAAAGTGCAAGGATTACAGGTGTGAGCCACCATGTCCAGCCCATCATTTCATTTTCAGCATGTAGGATTGGTTGGATTTTATTCCATTTTTAAAGTTGTAGAGAAAAGCCATAATATTAGCATATAATGTCAGTATGATTCACTAAAAGTATTCTTTATTTTTAACATTGGGCTTAAGAGAAAAAAGAAAATAATTTTAATGTTTTTGTTTCATTTTAGGTCTCCGAATAACTGTGCTCCTGACATCCTTCCTTATGGTTTTAGGAACTGGTCTAAGATGCATACCTATATCAGACTTAATGCTTAAAAGAAGGTAAATCCTGTAAATAACATTTCCCCCTGATTTTTCATTTTATTATGTGTATAAAGTTTTAAGAAGATCAGTATGGGGTCATATTTATAGAAGCATTTATTTATTTTTTATGCTATATGATGATTAATTTAATTGACATTTATTAGTTGTTGTGTGGAAGACTATACTGGTTGTTGTGGAAATAAAAAGAGCAAGTTAATCTTCATATTACTGAGGAACAATAATCATGAGAGAATAATAGTATAACACACTCTAAGCATAATAATATACTATTTATATAATAATGTAGTTAATGCTACAGAAGAAATACAAAATTGCCCCAAGAGACTAGGAGAAGGTTCGGCTGAGGGTATCAACAAGAGGAGTTCATAAAGGAGGTGGTAATTAAACTAGGCATTGAATGATGAGTAGAATGTTGTTAACTACAGTCAGGGGAAGGGTATTGCAGGGTGGGGGAATAGCAAGAATGAAGCCATGGAGGCAGGTAAGCATAGGCCTTTTCTGGGTTGGGTAGGTAGTCTTACCTGTATATAGCAGCCTTTCTGCAACTGGGACCATGGATTTATTCTTAGGGAGTGTAAGATATATGAAGGTTTTACATTTCGTTTTTATATTGGTTATGATACAGTATTATTTTACCAGTAATAATCTGCAATAAAAATGTTTTTTTTGTTGATCAGGATGTCAGTTTCTTAAATTAGTGTTTCTCAGACTGGGGTCCTTGGATGTGACCTTGAAAGCCATTGAGAAATTTTTTCCCCTTCCGAAGAACCCATAAATTCCTCAAGTTCGAGAGATACTGGTCTACCGATGAAGGTGTAAGAATGGGATGGATATAAAGAGATGGGGTTAGAAGTGGTATTTTGATTCTGAAGGATCTTGATACCATCCTCTATTATTAACAGTGTACTTTCCTTACTGGATAGTAGGAAGCCCCTTAGGCTCTTAATCAGAACGGTAGTATTAGACCCGTCTTAGGTTTACTATGGACTGAGATATGTAGAATTGATTATAAGGGGTAGAGACTGCTGGTAGAAGACCAGGAAAGATACAGTGGAATCCCAAGCTGGAGTCATTCTTTTGTTTGTCTGTTTATTAGATTATTCATTCATTCAACAGAATTCACTGAGCTTCTATGTGCCAAGCTCTGTTGTGGGCATTGGGAATATGATAGAGGACAAAGCAGATAAAAATTACCACCTTGTAGTTTCATTCCAGTCAGGGAGACTGGCAATAAACTCGATAAATAAATAAAATATACAATATATGCATGGAGGGTAAAACAAAAATAGAAAAAGGCGAGGGAAGGATGGTGAGATTTTCGGAAAGAAAAACTTTATTGGGAAGATAACCATTTTGGGATAAAAACCTGACAGAAGTAACGGATGGTGTAATATTTAGGAATCAAGCATTATATGCAGAGAGAACTGCAAGTGTTCAGGGCAGAAGGGGACAGGCGTACCTGGCAGGGAGGCTGGTGTGGCAGGGGAAGAGTAGTAGCAAGTGAGGTCAGAGCAGTTATGGGGTGGTAGTGAGAGTGTGGGACCACATTTTTTAAGATCACATCAGCTCCTCAGCTTTTTCTGAGCTGGAAACCATTGGAGGTTTTGAGCTGAGAGTGCCATGGTGCTAGGCTGTTCCACTGAGAATGGACTGAAGCTTGAGGTCATGGGCATAAGTAAGGAAAGTTGAAAACTCGTGCAATAAACCAGGTGAGAGATGATGGTGGCTTAGACCATAGTGGTGGCAGTGGGAGTGGTGAGGAGTGGTCATATTCTAATTATATTCTTGTCCATTTGCTGGCAGACCAGATGTGGGGAGTAAGAGAAAGGAGTCCAGAACGATTCCATGCTGTGGGAAGTTGGGGGAGTGGAAAGGATGGCACAAACCTGAGGGGGAATGTGAGAAAAAGAGATGGGGGGTGATACACTGGAGATTTTTACTTGAGGGACTCTGAAATTGTTGATTCCATTAACAGATGGGGAACATAGAAGTGGGGGAGAGTAGATTTTGGCAACAAGGTGTTGACTTTCTTTTGGAACAGAATTTTTCAGTTTCAAAATAAATGTTCAGTTTTGAATTTTCAAAATGTGTTCTCATTTTAGAAAATTCAGGGTACAAGGGTTCATATTTTAAAAGGGAAATAGGACAATCATCTAGGTTCCTATAGAAAGCTAGTCATAATTTTCCATCCTTCTGAGGTAGATTTTAACACAAATCTCATTATTGTGTTTGAGATGCTCTTAATTTTTGAAACACCCAGTGGTGTATTTTTTCAATCATCCATAGATTTTAAGTACAGATTTTCATATAAGCTTAAAATCAACACTGCTTTCTTTTAATGCTTATTAAGGCCAGGTGCAGTGGCTTACGTCTGTAATCCCAGCACTTTGGGAGGCAGAGGCAGGTGGATCTCTTGAGGCCAGGAGTTTGAGACCAGCCTGAGCAACATTGTGAGACCCCATCTCAAAAAAAAAGCCTATTAATATTTTTGCTAGCTTTTCTTCTGTTTTGGGCCATCCATACTATTACTTGTCTCCAGTCTCATACCCCTTTATATCCTTTCCAGATATAAAATTCTGGGAATAATAGAGTTGACTCTCCATCTTGTTGAAGAAGGTGGTATGAAAATGAAACAATTCATAAAGAAATGTACACAAACATAGAACAGATAAGAAGTAGAACCAAATAGAGATTGAATCATTCTTAAAAAAGAATGTATAATTTGAATTTTCAATCTTATGCATTCATCTATAAGGAAATAAGACTTCATTTTGTGGTCTTTAAGCATTTCTTTAAGCAGTATTATTAACAATGCATGATGCAGCTGTTAAAATGAAAATGCTACAATTTGGAACATGTATTTTCAACAAATTGGGTCTATAGATCATTGCTTTTAAGCTTCAGTCTCCATCTGACATTCCAGGGAAGACCAGTGTTGAAACAAGCATTTAGAAGTCTGTGTTTTCTGTGGCCTTGTTTCACTCAGATCTTTTTGAGCTTCTGACCCAGTCTTTTGGAATGGTTCCCCCGCACCTTTGACTTCCTGTATCTTAACTCCTTTAAGTATCAAGACACAAGAATAGCAGCATTCTGACAAGCTCTTCCTAATGTTGTTCTACTTCTATATAATGTCAGTATTTCTTCTATCTGCATAGTACTGATGAAAATTCAAGAAAAAATTATTTTGCCACATTTCTCTTATAACAGGTAAGTGAGAAACTTGGAATAACTCAAGAGAAGTTCAAAAGAGTTATTTCTTGAGAACTCGAGAGAACTCAAGAGAATATTCAACTTTCATTGTAATTAAATGAATGAAAATTAAAATAGACAGATGTCTGTTTACTGGCAAAGATGAAAAAAATTGATGATGTGCTGTGCCTGAGATGTGGGGAAAAACAGGCACTGCGGATATTTGAGCAGTTTGGGGCATCCTATTTGGAGGACACTTTGGCAATATTTACCAGATCCAAATATACATGTCCTTTAACCTACACGTATATTTGCACTTATAGAAAATTAGCCCACATATAAAACTGTATCAGTTTGCAAGAATTACCATGTTTGTGCAGCTTTGCTTGTAGTAGCAGAAGGCTGGATGTAACCCGGATGCCTTCGGCAGAGGACTGATCATGATGCAGTATATCATGGAATAATATTGCGCTGAAAAGGAAGTAAAAGCTGTAAGTGCTAATATGGAAATATCTCCAAAATACATTGTTGAGTTAAAAGGCAAACTTTAGAATATTACGTTCTTACTTAGAAAAAAATGAGAGGGGTATCATTGGTTGTTTCTGGGGAGAGCATCTGAGGAATAGAATTCTGAGGTGGAAAGGACATTTATTTTTTATTTTTTACAACTTTTGGTAATATTTTTACCATGTGCGTATATTACCTTTTGTTTTGGGGACACACTCTTACTCTGTTGCCCGGGCTGGAGTAGTGGTGGTGTGATCATAGCTTACTGTAGCCTCAAACTCTTAGGCTCCAGGGAGCCTCCTGCCTCAGCCTCCTAAGTAGCTAGGACTACAGGCATGTGCCATCACAACTGGCTAGTTTTTAAATTTTTTGTGGAGACAGAGTCCCACTCTTTTGCCAGGTTGGTCTCAAACTCTGGGCTCAAGTAATCCCCGCACCTCAGCTTTCCCAAGTGCTGGGATTACAGGTATGAGCCACCGCACCCAGCCTATATTACCTTTTTTACTGAAAGCCCTAGTTAAATAAAACTAAAATCGCCACCTCAGAGCTTTGATAATAAGAAAAGGAAAGACAGGGAAAGGTTATATATAAATTTCCCCAGTATAGGAATATAAATCTTTTGATGTAAACATGAGCAATTGGTTGATTTAAGAACTAAGACTCCTCAGTAAAGTACAGCAGATTCCGTTTCCCCTGTATCAGTGTCTTCTAAAATATAATTCACAGACTGCCTGCATATTAAAATACAGATCCCTGGGCTCCAACCAAGCCCTACTGAGTTAGGCTCTTAAGTGAACCCTGAGAAAGAGCAGTTTTTACAAGCTCTTTTAGTCTTATTTAAATTTTAGAACTACTTCCCTAGGTACACAGCATCTTTACTTTAAATAGTAATTGATTAAACAAATAGCTTTGTGCTTGTCCATTCTACAGTATAATCACATAATATATTTAATGTCTTACTTTAAGCAGATTAAGGATTAGACTCTATTTAATAAATCTGTTAGCTTTAATTTGACTCTTAAAGCAACTCAAGGCAAGTAAAACTCTTATCACTGTATTTCTGCATGGTGGTCAGATGGGCTTCAGATAAGAAAGATTGGTAAGAAAAGACAACGGAATCATGATAAGCATTTAATAGGGAAAAAAGGTAGTAAAAAGATGTGTAAAGGCCGGGCATGGTGGCTCACACCTGTAATCCCAGCACTTTGAGGGGCCAAGGTGGGCAGATTATTTAAGGTCAGGAGTTTGAGACCAGCATGTCCAACATAGTGAAACCCAGTCTCTACTAAAAATACAAAAAT